GTACAATTACTGTAAAAAGCATAATTTACAGTTCAGATACAAGTTTTCACAAAAACAAAGTTTTATAAAATTATAAACTTTACATTTCAGCCTTTAAACCATTGTTAAGAAAATGGATAAGTCAAAAGTATGAATTATTATATTAATTTAAACAATTATTACCAATAAATTATTATATAAATTAAATAACATAAATTAGGGGTGTGCGATACTGTCAAAAAATCTCGATATTTTTCTGGGATTTTATCGATAATGATAATTGGATGATATTTTGCTGAGTGTGTTATTGTGCTGATATCTTAAGGACTGCTGTGGACAGCTGAATCCTGAATTTTTTGATATTCTTCATATTCTGTGTGGTCAGTTCACAGCAGTAATAGAAATGAATAATTTCCAACAAGTTTTATGGGCATTTTTACCTTTAAGCCATTTTTTTCTAAAAGTGTGCACCATCTTGTGAGTCAAATTCTTGCATTTGGGTTGTTACCAAGCAAATTAAATCAGTATCAACTAAATCTATCTTTGCAATGCAGAGGAGACACAGAAGCTGCATTAGAAGTGTCAGTTAGATGCATTTACACACTGTTTAATGCAGCTCTGAGGGACATGGAATACTTTAGCCTGCAGTTACAAATGCATAGCTAAATAATATTTTGATATTTCAAACATAAAACATTGAAAACTGATGTTTGAAATTATTTAAAAAAATGAAAAGGTACCTTAAATGTGAAATGGTTGAGGAGATTCCCCCTTCTATGTAAAGCGCTTGGAGTGCCCAGAAAAGCGCTATATAAATGTAAGGAATTATTATTAATTATTATTATAAATGTGAAATTAAAACCACCAGTAGGCGGCAGCAAGTCACTGTTAATAAGCGAGTCATTGCGAATTAACAGAATCATAAAAAACGGCATCCTGTTGCTCAGAGACGCAAAACAGCTTTGTGGCTGTTTGAAATTATTTAAAAAAATGAAAAGGTACCTTAAATGTGAAATGGTTGAGGAGATTCCCCCTTCTATGTAAAGCGCTTGGAGTGCCCAGAAAAGCGCTATATAAATGTAAGGAATTATTATTAATTATTATTATAAATGTGAAATTAAAACCACCAGTAGGCGGCAGCAAGTCACTGTTAATAAGCGAGTCATTGCGAATTAACAGAATCATAAAAAACGGCATCCTGTTGCTCAGAGACGCAAAACAGCTTTGTGGCTGTTTGAAATTATTTTTGTTGGAGAAATAGAGCAAAAACAGGAAATATGGTGTCTAAAATGTATGTCTCTTAATATTAACTACTTGTTTATTGAACTGTTGTATAAAATCAATATCACATTTGTAATCATGCTTACTTTTGGAGAAAAAACGGCACTCTTCGTGTGACATTAACTATATGAAATTATATAAATATATACATTTTCTGCCCCATATCTTAAATTGTGTGATAATTCTAAATGCATTTTAATAGACTGATTCATGCAGTGAAATAACGCACTATAAATGCGCACGCACACTAGTCTAACCTACTAGACTTCATCATCTAATGTATGTGCCTAATGTACGATATTATCGCACACCCCTATTCTGTTTAGATATTTATAATGCATTGTCTTCTTATCGATCCACCAGTTCACATTTAAAGCTCTGCGTGTTTGCAGGGTAACAACATGGGTGGATTTTCGCATTGGTCTGAACTCTGAACAAAACAACAGTTTTATTGAAAGTGCTCATTCATTCTCTGCCAGCAGGTGGAGCGTTTGGTAGAAATATAACTGTTTCCCCGGTAACAGCAGAACACAGAGCAGCGCAGCAATGGACTTTGAATGTGCAGCGCTTGTGTTTATTTCATGAAATCATAGCCTTTTGAAGTTTAATCGTCACATTCAGCCATATCGCAATTCTGGTCTTTCCGTCCCCAAATTTAAGACCTCTTGAAATCATAATTAAGACTTTCTTGTACAATTTAAGACTTTTTAAGGCCTTAAATTTGATACAACTAAATGTAAGACTTTTTAAGACCCCGCGGAAACCCTGGCTAGGGTACTTGTACTCTTTAGTACAGTTTGAAGTTGTACTATTTTATTTTAACTCAAGTATGTTTTTGGCCAGATAATTTCACTGAGTAACTGTACTTTCACTTGAGCATAATTTTTTGAGTATTTTAACCCTTGTGAATTGTGCACATGACCAAGCACCTGTATTAGGAAATAAAAGAGGGTCAGTGGTGGTAAATGATGCCTTTGTGAGGCAGTTTTTACTGTAGCTCTTTGATTTGATCAATGTTTCTTTACTCACTTCTCTCTCAGCTTCTGCATTTCTCGTTTCATATCAGCGTCCTCAAACTCAGAGTCGTTATCACTGCTGACGTAAGCGGAGTGGGCGGGGCCGCTAACCGAGGGGGCGTGTCCGTTCACCAGAGGACAAGGGGGCGAATCGGAGCTTTGGACACTGCTGCTGTGACCCGAGCGCCGGAGGAACGCCACCGCCCGCTTCATGAAGTCCCCGTCGCCTGACTCTGACGGGGCAGGAGCCAGAGACGAGGGCTTAGCGGACGGAGTCTCGCTCTGATCCTCCTCTCCGGTGTCCGAGGACAAGCACTGCGCCGTCCCGTCCGCTGACAGCGAGCTCTGAGCGCAAGGCATTGTGGGTCTGGCCTCTGGAAAGGAAGTAGTTGTGTCCTGAAAAAAAAAAAACGGATGTAAATGACAATGTCAGACTCCCGAACAAAAGAACAAAATGTATACAAATACCTAAAAATAAACCAAAAATAAATTAAATATAGATAAATAAATAAAACATTTTAACTGATGGATTCTGTGTTTAGAATGTAATACTGTACAGTATACTGCCTACTACAGCATGTGAAACAGTAACATTTCAAAAAGTATTGCGCTACATTGTGGTCACACAACTTTATCATGTTGCATGTTCAATCCAGTGAGTGGCATCCTATTAAATGACTTAGTTCGCATTTACTATCCAATTTTGTGTACAAATGTCTAAACTTCAGACTGTCTGATCAAGTAATGAGTAAAGAAAAGGAGATGTTGAATCCTGAATGCCATTACTCTCATGTCACACTGAAAGGTCTAGTCTAGACTACACATTTTGACAAAAACATATGTAGTAGGGATGCACCGAATGTTCGGCAACCAAAATTATTCGTCTGAATAAGCAAAAAGACTGAATAAATTGTACCGAACAATTATATTTTTGGTGATGCGATCAAATAGCACTCAGCGTAGAGTGAGAGGCGCGCATTTTTTATAATGCAAAACATGTCAGCAGCGTGGAAGCATTTAAAACTGTCCGAGAAAGACACAAAAATCATTACAAGCACTGACAGCGAGAGACTGTTTAGCACTGCATCGCATGTTTCTGTTGAGAAGTGGAAGGAGTGGTTGTTGGAGCTGGTTACTGTAAGGCAGGGGTGTCCAACCCTGGTCCTGGAGGGCTACCGTCCTGCAGATTTCAGTTCCAACCCTGCTCCAACACACCTTACAAATGCATAGCTAAATAATATTTTGATATTTCAAACATAAAACATTGAAAACTGATGTTTGAAATTATTTAAAAAAATGAAAAGGTACCTTAAATGTGAAATGGTTGAGGAGATTCCCCCTTCTATGTAAAGCGCTTGGAGTGCCCAGAAAAGCGCTATATAAATGTAAGGAATTATTATTAATTATTATTATAAATGTGAAATTAAAACCACCAGTAGGCGGCAGCAAGTCACTGTTAATAAGCGAGTCATTGCGAATTAACAGAATCATAAAAAACGGCATCCTGTTGCTCAGAGACGCAAAACAGCTTTGTGGCTGTTTGAAATTATTTTTGTTGGAGAAATAGAGCAAAAACAGGAAATATGGTGTCTAAAATGTATGTCTCTTAATATTAACTACTTGTTTATTGAACTGTTGTATAAAATCAATATCACATTTGTAATCATGCTTACTTTTGGAGAAAAAACGGCACTCTTCGTGTGACATTAACTATATGAAATTATATAAATATATACATTTTCTGCCCCATATCTTAAATTGTGTGATAATTCTAAATGCATTTTAATAGACTGATTCATGCAGTGAAATAACGCACTATAAATGCGCACGCACACTAGTCTAACCTACTAGACTTCATCATCTAATGTATGTGCCTAATGTACGATATTATCGCACACCCCTATTCTGTTTAGATATTTATAATGCATTGTCTTCTTATCGATCCACCAGTTCACATTTAAAGCTCTGCGTGTTTGCAGGGTAACAACATGGGTGGATTTTCGCATTGGTCTGAACTCTGAACAAAACAACAGTTTTATTGAAAGTGCTCATTCATTCTCTGCCAGCAGGTGGAGCGTTTGGTAGAAATATAACTGTTTCCCCGGTAACAGCAGAACACAGAGCAGCGCAGCAATGGACTTTGAATGTGCAGCGCTTGTGTTTATTTCATGAAATCATAGCCTTTTGAAGTTTAATCGTCACATTCAGCCATATCGCAATTCTGGTCTTTCCGTCCCCAAATTTAAGACCTCTTGAAATCATAATTAAGACTTTCTTGTACAATTTAAGACTTTTTAAGGCCTTAAATTTGATACAACTAAATGTAAGACTTTTTAAGACCCCGCGGAAACCCTGGCTAGGGTACTTGTACTCTTTAGTACAGTTTGAAGTTGTACTATTTTATTTTAACTCAAGTATGTTTTTGGCCAGATAATTTCACTGAGTAACTGTACTTTCACTTGAGCATAATTTTTTGAGTATTTTAACCCTTGTGAATTGTGCACATGACCAAGCACCTGTATTAGGAAATAAAAGAGGGTCAGTGGTGGTAAATGATGCCTTTGTGAGGCAGTTTTTACTGTAGCTCTTTGATTTGATCAATGTTTCTTTACTCACTTCTCTCTCAGCTTCTGCATTTCTCGTTTCATATCAGCGTCCTCAAACTCAGAGTCGTTATCACTGCTGACGTAAGCGGAGTGGGCGGGGCCGCTAACCGAGGGGGCGTGTCCGTTCACCAGAGGACAAGGGGGCGAATCGGAGCTTTGGACACTGCTGCTGTGACCCGAGCGCCGGAGGAACGCCACCGCCCGCTTCATGAAGTCCCCGTCGCCTGACTCTGACGGGGCAGGAGCCAGAGACGAGGGCTTAGCGGACGGAGTCTCGCTCTGATCCTCCTCTCCGGTGTCCGAGGACAAGCACTGCGCCGTCCCGTCCGCTGACAGCGAGCTCTGAGCGCAAGGCATTGTGGGTCTGGCCTCTGGAAAGGAAGTAGTTGTGTCCTGAAAAAAAAAAAACGGATGTAAATGACAATGTCAGACTCCCGAACAAAAGAACAAAATGTATACAAATACCTAAAAATAAACCAAAAATAAATTAAATATAGATAAAACATTTTAACATTTTAACTGATGGATTCTGTGTTTAGAATGTAATACTGTACAGTATACTGCCTACTACAGCATGTGACATTTCAAAATTTCAAAAAGTATTGCGCTACATTGTGGTCACACAACTTTATCATGTTGCATGTTCAATCCAGTGAGTGGCATCCTATTAAATGACTTAGTTCGCATTTACTATCCAATTTTGTGTACAAATGTCTAAACTTCAGACTGTCTGATCAAGTAATGAGTAAAGAAAAGGAGATGTTGAATCCTGAATGCCATTACTCTCATGTCACACTGAAAGGTCTAGTCTAGACTACACATTTTGACAAAAACATATGTAGTAGGGATGCACCGAATGTTCGGCAACCAAAATTATTCGTCTGAATAAGCAAAAAGACTGAATAAATTGTACCGAACAATTATATTTTTGGTGATGCGATCAAATAGCACTCAGCGTAGAGTGAGAGGCGCGCATTTTTTATAATGCAAAACATGTCAGCAGCGTGGAAGCATTTAAAACTGTCCGAGAAAGACACAAAAATCATTACAAGCACTGACAGCGAGAGACTGTTTAGCACTGCATCGCATGTTTCTGTTGAGAAGTGGAAGGAGTGGTTGTTGGAGCTGGTTACTGTAAGGCAGGGGTATCCAACCCTGGTCCTGGAGGGCTACCGTCCTGCAGATTTCAGTTCCAACCCTGCTCCAACACACCTGTCAGTAATTATCAAGCAGCCCTGAACACCATGATTAGCTGATTCAGGTGTGTTTAATTCGGGTTGGAGATCAAATCTGCAGGACGGTAGCCCTCCAGGACCAGGGTTGGACACCCCTGCTGTAAGATGATTGAAATTATGAAATGGCCTCAAACAATTAATAAATAAACTGCAGAGTGCTGCACAAGCTCGTTAGCCAGGGTTCAAAGTCCAAAGGAGAAAACTAAAACAGTGTTACTCATCAGTTGCTCAGTAACATTTTTATGAATTTTTACAAGGCATGGATGTGACAATGTGATACGTGCGACAAACATCTTCCCAAATTCGTAATGAGAATCATTTATAAATCCATTGTTGTACAAATAGAAGCACTGAGGTCTTCCTGCGGGTTTCCGTCAAAAGCTAGAAAAAAAAGCAAGAACTCCATCACAATTTATAAATGTTAGTATTGTAATTCTACTGTTGTTCTGTAAAGAAAAAGAAAAAAGACAATAATATTAATAATGACATTAATAATTACAACAACTCTGTTAATACATTTATTATAACATTCACACAATGTTCAAATTGGGATCTGTAATATTTTCTCATGTCTTAAAAAGTCTCTTCTGCTCAGCAAGGCTGCATTTATTTGTACAGTAAAAAAATACAATAACAGTAATATTGTGAAATATTGCTACAATTTTAAACAACTGTTTTCTATGTGAATATGTAAAAATGTAATGTATTTCTGTGATGCGCAGCTGTATTTTCAGCATCATTACTCCAGTCTTCAGTGTCACATGATCTTCAGAAATCAGTATAATATGCTGATTTGCTGCTCAAGAAACATTTCTGATTATTATCAATGATATGAGAACAGTATGGCTTGTAGATAGGGAGTTATTTAATACAAATATAATTATATTTTCAGAATGACATTTTTCTCAAACATAGTCAGTGGGGTAAAACGCCTCCAGGGGGCAATGAGCAATTACTGTATTTATCTGTTCTGAACATCAAATTCTTTGTTTTTCAAATCATTTTTATACATACATACATACATACATACAGTATGCCAGTATGCCATTTCAGACGTACACTGCGCTTCAGACAAACCTGATATAAGTCAGGAGGTGCCGAGTAACGGTTTCTTTGTGACTTTGATGTGGATCTGTGTCCGTTCTCAGTTACAGGAACAGCTGCAGATTCAAGATCAATCACACGATCTCTGTAATGTATTTCTGTGATGCGCAGCTGTATTTTCAGCATCATTCCTCCAGTCTTCAGTGTCACATGATCTTCAGAAATCAGTATAATATGCTGATTTGCTGCTCAAGAAACATTTCTGATTATTATCAATGATATGAGAACAGTATGGCTTGTAGATAGGGAGTTATTTAATACAAATATAATTATATTTTCAGAATGACATTTTTCTCAAACATAGTCAGTGGGGTAAAACGCCTCCAGGGGGCAATGAGCAATTACTGTAGTTATCTGTTCTGAACATCAAATTCTTTGTTTTTCAAATCATTTTTATAATGCCATTTCAGACGTACACTGCGCTTCAGACAAACCTGATATAAGTCAGGAGGTGCCGAGTAACGGTTTCTTTGTGACTTTGATGTGGATCTGTGTCCGTTCTCAGTTACAGGAACAGCTGCAGATTCAAGATCAATCACACGATCTCCACCATCGTGAGAAGACACATCTGAATCTGTTGGCACAATCTGCAGTGCACAAACACAGAACGCTGTCAAACTATGACCAGTCATTTCAGAGAAGCATATATATATAACTCATAAACAAACAAACAAACATACGAAAAAAATCACTGATAACCTGGAAGTGGCTCTTGGATGTGTGTGTAGCAGAAGTGGCCCCGGAGTCTTTTCTGGTCAGAAGTCTTTTGAAGGCTGATCGACATTTGGGGAAAAAAAGAAAGAAAAGCACAACAATAACAGTTGTCAATTGTGACAATTTCTTGTAGTCTGCAGTACGTCTACATATCTAGAATGTAGAGCTGTTTTTCCACCGTCGAGCCGAACCATTCGCGTTGCCTAACCATTCCATTCCGTGTTGAATTACAGGCCCAGAACGGTTCCTAACCATGGAAACATAACTGGAACCATTCACTACCATTTTTATAACCATTCGGCCCGACACGGGGAAGAGCAGCTGAGGTTAGCACATTCTCACACACACACACACTTTCACTTACGGGCGACAGCAGAATCACTCAAGGTCCCGAGACTGTCGGACCTCTCTGGAATCTGCGGCTACAAAAAAAAATAAAAATCCTGAGAAATACGGTATAACAAAATTGTTTTCTACAGAATTAACATGGACAAACTCTTTTCAGAAAATAACAGGACAGATGGTAACCAGTTGACAGTTGTACAGTTTACTTAGCCATTTCTACTCTTCTGGTGCTTGTACACAGGACAATACTTACACAAATATCCGGTTTTCAACAATCAACTGTTTACTACAGAAAATCATGGGTAACATGGTTCACAATTTGACACAATTTACTTTTATTCATGGAATAACAGGATTGATGTACAAATGTTCTCATATTTCTCCTGTTTTATGCAGACTAAATTGGCTACCTGTTCATTTCCGTATTCAATACAAAATACTTCTCATTACATTCAAATCTCTCCATGGTCTCGCCCCTTAATATATCTCAGATCTCATCAACACCTACATCCCTTCCTGTGCACTTAGGTCCTCTGAATCTGGCCTATTACCAGTTCCTCGGCACAAACTAGTGTTTGGGAATGTTGAATGATTGTAAAGCGTGCTTGAGTTTGTAGAAATGCACTATATAAAATAAACATTATTATTAATATTATTCTGTAACCTCAGGTCTGGGGTTGATGGCCAAAACTGGTTATTATTCAGAACTGGTTCCATTAAAAATACAAAAGATTTCTTCTGAATTTCATATGAAATCTCCCGCAATATGGATTCCACTATTTGACAGTGCTATGCCACTACTGAATCTGCCACACCGTGCCTCATAATAAACAAATTAATCGTGATCTATGAATGAACTGTTTTCAGGAGCCTGTTCTTTTGATAGTTTCTGAGACTAAAAATGCATAAAAAAAATAATAAAAAAAAGATTTAACAAAACAACCTCCGTTACGAAAATGAACCATGGTTTTATTGTAGTAAAGGTGTAGTAACCATGTTTTGTTTTTGGTATATTGATTCCCATTTGTATAACCACAGTTTGACTACAAATACTATGGTTAAACTATGGTTAGTGTAGCAAAACCATGATTAGTTTGTGGTTACCATAGTTAAACTCAGGGGTGTCCAAACTTTTTTTTTTAAGGGGGCCAGATTTGACGATGTGGACACACCAGGGAGCCGGATGCTTCTCCCTATAATATATAATAGCAATATCACATGAGTAGACGTGAGATATGGCTGTATATCGGCACGGCTGTGATTCGGCCGTAGGTAAACACAGAGTGCCAATATACAGCCATATCTCACGTCTACTCGTGTGATATTGCATTTATACAACAGTTCGATGGCACGAGCGTGTAAATACATAAACAAAATAACAACGGAGTGTCTTTTAAATCCCTCTTTTGTGCAGAACTACTTCCTTCCACCACGGATTTAAATCTAAAGTTGACAGTTTAACAGCTGAGCCCAAGCCTCCGCTACTAATTCCAAAACGTCACTTTAGAACTAGTAACAAAAGAACGTTGAGTTACAGAAATGAACTGACGGCGTGGAAGCTCATTCATGAGATTTGAATTCTCCGCTGTAAGGCGACCTCATGCATAATACAGCACAGTGATTGGATCATAAAACTTCATTCTCATGAATACTGAGAAAAGCCTGGAAAACCGATGATGCAGACGTGCACTCTCCAGCCACGGCAGCCAATCACCACTCCAGATTAACGCATATACGTCACTTTTCTTGACGTTGGTTCAACTTTACTTTTTGAAACAGAAGAATGAAATTGCTCCAGAAAATGAATATACTTTTGCTTTAATTATAGACATAATGAGTGCTGTGTAATGTATTTCTGTGATGCGCAGCTGTATTTTCAGCATCATTCCTCCAGTCTTCAGTGTCACATGATCTTCAGAAATCAGTATAATATGCTGATTTGCTGCTCAAGAAACATTTCTGATTATTATCAATGATATGAGAACAGTATGGCTTGTAGATAGGGAGTTATTTAATACAAATATAATTATATTTTCAGAATGACATTTTTCTCAAACATAGTCAGTGGGGTAAAACGCCTCCAGGGGGCAATGAGCAATTACTGTATTTATCTGTTCTGAACATCAAATTCTTTGTTTTTCAAATCATTTTTATACATACATACATACATACATACAGTATGCCAGTATGCCATTTCAGACGTACACTGCGCTTCAGACAAACCTGATATAAGTCAGGAGGTGCCGAGTAACGGTTTCTTTGTGACTTTGATGTGGATCTGTGTCCGTTCTCAGTTACAGGAACAGCTGCAGATTCAAGATCAATCACACGATCTCCACCATCGTGAGAAGACACATCTGAATCTGTTGGCACAATCTGCAGTGCACAAACACAGAACGCTGTCAAACTATGACCAGTCATTTCAGAGAAGCATATATATAACTCATAAACAAACAAACAAACATACGAAAAAAATCACTGATAACCTGGAAGTGGCTCTTGGATGTGTGTGTAGCAGAAGTGGCCCCGGAGTCTTTTCTGGTCAGAAGTCTTTTGAAGGCTGATCGACATTTGGGGAAAAAAAGAAAGAAAAGCACAACAATAACAGTTGTCAATTGTGACAATTTCTTGTAGTCTGCAGTACGTCTACATATCTAGAATGTAGAGCTGTTTTTCCACCGTCGAGCCGAACCATTCGCGTTGCCTAACCATTCCATTCCGTGTTGAATTACAGGCCCAGAACGGTTCCTAACCATGGAAACATAACTGGAACCATTCACTACCATTTTTATAACCATTCGGCCCGACACGGGGAAGAGCAGCTGAGGTTAGCACATTCTCACACACACACACACTTTCACTTACGGGCGACAGCAGAATCACTCAAGGTCCCGAGACTGTCGGACCTCTCTGGAATCTGCGGCTACAAAAAAAAATAAAAATCCTGAGAAATACGGTATAACAAAATTGTTTTCTACAGAATTAACATGGACAAACTCTTTTCAGAAAATAACAGGACAGATGGTAACCAGTTGACAGTTGTACAGTTTACTTAGCCATTTCTACTCTTCTGGTGCTTGTACACAGGACAATACTTACACAAATATCCGGTTTTCAACAATCAACTGTTTACTACAGAAAATCATGGGTAACATGGTTCACAATTTGACACAATTTACTTTTATTCATGGAATAACAGGATTGATGTACAAATGTTCTCATATTTCTCCTGTTTTATGCAGACTAAATTGGCTACCTGTTCATTTCCGTATTCAATACAAAATACTTCTCATTACATTCAAATCTCTCCATGGTCTCGCCCCATGATCTCATCAACACCTACATCCCTTCCTGTGCACTTAGGTCCTCTGAATCTGGCCTATTACCAGTTCCTCGGCACAAACTAGTGTTTGGGAATGTTGAATGATTGTAAAGCGTGCTTGAGTTTGTAGAAATGCACTATATAAAATAAACATTATTATTAATATTATTCTGTAACCTCAGGTCTGGGGTTGATGGCCAAAACTGGTTATTATTCAGAACTGGTTCCATTAAAAATACAAAAGATTTCTTCTGAATTTCATATGAAATCTCCCGCAATATGGATTCCACTATTTGACAGTGCTATGCCACTACTGAATCTGCCACACCGTGCCTCATAATAAACAAATTAATCGTGATCTATGAATGAACTGTTTTCAGGAGCCTGTTCTTTTGATAGTTTCTGAGACTAAAAATGCATAAAAAAAATAATAAAAAAAAGATTTAACAAAACAACCTCCGTTACGAAAATGAACCATGGTTTTATTGTAGTAAAGGTGTAGAAACCATGTTTTGTTTTTGGTATATTGATTCCCATTTGTATAACCACAGTTTGACTACAAATACTATGGTTAAACTATGGTTAGTGTAGCAAAACCATGATTAGTTTGTGGTTACCATAGTTAAACTCAGGGGTGTCCAAACTTTTTTTTTTAAGGGGGCCAGATTTGACGATGTGGACACACCAGGGAGCCGGATGCTTCTCCCTATAATATATAATAGCAATATCACATGAGTAGACGTGAGATATGGCTGTATATCGGCACGGCTGTGATTCGGCCGTAGGTAAACACAGAGTGCCAATATACAGCCATATCTCACGTCTACTCGTGTGATATTGCATTTATACAACAGTTCGATGGCACGAGCGTGTAAATACATAAACAAAATAACAACGGAGTGTCTTTTAAATCCCTCTTTTGTGCAGAACTACTTCCTTCCACCACGGATTTAAATCTAAAGTTGACAGTTTAACAGCTGAGCCCAAGCCTCCGCTACTAATTCCAAAACGTCACTTTAGAACTAGTAACAAAAGAACGTTGAGTTACAGAAATGAACTGACGGCGTGGAAGCTCATTCATGAGATTTGAATTCTCCGCTGTAAGGCGACCTCATGCATAATACAGCACAGTGATTGGATCATAAAACTTCATTCTCATGAATACTGAGAAAAGCCTGGAAAACCAATGATGCAGACGTGCACTCTCCAGCCACGGCAGCCAATCACCACTCCAGATTAACGCATATACGTCACTTTTCTTGACGTTGGTTCAACTTTACTTTTTGAAACAGAAGAATGAAATTGCTCCAGAAAATGAATATACTTTTGCTTTAATTATAGACATAATGAGTGCTGTTGTTGTTTTCACTGATGTGCAACCTGTTCATATATTTTAACATCTCAAAGACACTTTACAAGCTTATTGTACTACTGTAGTAAAAGCAGTGCATTATGTATAGTAGAGTATTATGAGAGATAGATGGTGAGTGTGATTTTCTGCATCTGATACGGCATTCATTCTTCAGATCAATCTCATATTCACAATAAAATATTAGTTTGAATGTCCGATAGGCTCGTACTATCCTTTCATCTGTTAAGGGTGATTTCTGATAACAGCGCTGCTTGGTGCATTTGTTGGCTGCATACAAGCTTTTTGAAAGAAAAAATAACTTTCTTGTTCAAAAACTCAATAACTTTACTGCTGACTCGTAAAACAGTCTTGTCACCATCTAATGGTGGAACAATGTAATTAAAATCACCATCACAAACACAAACACACTTTCCTAATACTAAATACTACTATTATTTATTGAATAATAATATTTAATAAACAACAACGGCCATCATAAAAAATGCTAGACAATTCAGTCAAAAGTACAAAGGCATCGCTCAGATATACAGCATTGAAGTTGCATAAACGGTGAGATTTTGCTCTGGAACAAATAACAGATTAATGAGACCAAAGTCTTCCCGTTAGATTTACCCCTCCATGCCACGCCGAATTGAGGGAGTAATTAAAGCAAAAGGAGCCCCTACCACGTATTGAGTACATGTACAGTAAATGAACATACTTTCCAGAAGGCCAACAATTCACTAAAAATGTTTTTTTATTGGTCTTATGAAGTATTCTAATTTGGTGAGATAGTGAATTGGTGGGTTTTTGTTAAATGTGAGCCAAAATCATGACACTTAAAAGAACCAAAGACTTAAAACTACTTCAGTCTGTGTGCATTGCATTTATTTAATACACGAGTTTCACAATTTGAGTTGAATTACTGAAATAAATGAACTTTTCCACGACATTCTAATTTATTGAGATGCACCTGTGTATCTCATGTTTATCCACTATAGAGATACCAGAGCCAATGGTAAATTCCTGAAGTTCTGGCCGAGGTGAGGCGCTCTCTCTGTGGGTTTATGAGCGCTGAATGCCTGCTGATGTCCTCTAGCTCACGTCTCCGAAAACATCAAAGCAAATATTTTGCTGTGAGAAATAAGGCAAGCGGAGTGACACAAACGGTGAAGCTGTTGGAGAAGCTCTGTTATCACTCTAGTATCACACTCTTATCAGCCTCAAGGACAGATTCAAGGACCAGAAAGAACTGTTGGAAGAGGGCCAACACTTTATCACACCACTGTATATATATATATATATATATATACAATATTAGGTATAACACACAAATATTGGGTGAAATATTTTTGCTTAATTCATTTAAATAATTTAAGAAAGATATATAAAATAATTTATTTAAAAAAAAAAAACTTTTTCATGACTCCACACTGTTTGTCATAGTGCATCCTGCCTTGGTTTTGTTGTTGTTTTAGTGTTATTTGTATTCTATTATTGTATTTATTAATCTTATGAATTAGCTTTTGTTTTATTATGTTTTTCATTTTAATGTAAAATTTTAGTTTGTCTTTTATGTGTCTTTTGTCATTTTCCTTAGCTTATATATATATTTATATACAGTAGTCAACATTTGAAGTGGATCAAAAAAGTGAATCAAAGTTGTCCTAAGACACTAGGCGCGTTTCCACTACAGGTTTGCACAAAACTTTGGCGATATTTTCTGAATGTTGATAAAAAAGTATTGCGAAATGACGGCGTTTCCATGAACCAATGTTATCCACTCGACACGGAAAACCACCACTGCTGAAGCGCCGTCCGCCAACACGAAGGCTCTCCAAGAGCGCGCTGAACTCGTTCAGTCTTCTTCTCTCAGTAGAGTAGTCAGGAGCAGAACGATGTGATCGCTCGGCTCCGAAGCGAAAAGCTGAATATGCGCTGCATCTGCTGCCTACTTATACTCACGCTATGATCAGCAGCAGTTGGATGCAATAATCGCATGCCAATGTGCATTGGCTCGTTTAGTTTACACTCGAAGTAGATTGGTCCCTCTAAGCGAGATCCCAATTTCGTCGGTCATCCGACATGACGTCGAGTGTGACCGACTGAAAGGGAACCATGGTTACTATAGTTAAACCAGGGGAGTCCAAAGTATGGCCCGTGGGCCAAATGCGGCCCATGAATGAATTTCAAATGGCCCTCAGCTTGTCTATTAAAATGTATTAGCCTATATGTGGCCCGCCAAGCATAATTTACAAAATATGCAGTTTCAAAATGTCAACACAAGGTGACAGCACTACATTTTAGGCTAGATTTAGCAGTAAAACGCGAGTGACAACAATTTTATAACTCATATGCGCTGCACGAGTGCAAGAGCGCTACTGGTCTGAGTGAGCTCAGAATAAATGCGTTTACTCTGGTCACACGACCACAGAACAGCGCTGTGAGATTCCGTGAGCTCTCCAATACAAACCACAGATGTCGTAATGATTTTAACTAGTTTAAAGGCAGATGAAACAGCGCTGCCATTCTCAACAACAGAAAACAGAAGAAACATTGTGTGACAACATGCAGTTATAATAAATTTTAATCCACAAATCACCAACATTTGAATACTTTCGCAAGGCACTACAAACACACACACTTATACAGTATATACATATATATGTGTATATGTATATATATATATATATATATATATATATATATATATATATACACACACACACACACACACACATATATATGTATATACTGTATAAGTGTGTGTGTTTGTAGTGCCTTGCGAAAGTATTCAAATGTTGGTGATTTGTGGATTAAAATTTATTATAACTGCATGTTGTCACACAATGTTTCTTCTGTTTTCTGTTGTTGAGAATGGCAGCGCTGTTTCATCTGCCTTTAAACTAGTTAAAATCATTACGACATCTGTGGTTTGTATTGGAGAGCTCACGGAATCTCACAGCGCTGTTCTGTGGTCGTGTGACCAGAGTAAACGCATTTATTCTGAGCTCACTCAGACCAGTAGCGCTCTTGCACTCGTGCAGCGCATATGAGTTATAAAATTGTTGTCACTCGCGTTTTACTGCTAAATCTAGCCTAAAATGTAGTGCTGTCACCTTGTGTTGACATTTTGAAACTGCATATTTTGTAAATTATGCTTGGCGGGCCACATATAGGCTAATACATTTTAATAGACAAGCTGAGGGCCATTTGAAATTCATTCATGGGCCGCATTTGGCCCACGGGCCATACTTTGGACTCCCCTGGTTTAACTATAGTAACCATGGTTCCCTTTCAGTCGGTCACTCTCGACGTCATGTCGGATGACCGACGAAATTGGGATCTCGCTTAGAGGGACCAATCTACTTCGAGTGTAAACTAAACGAGCCAATGCACATTGGCATGCGATTATTGCATCCAGCTGCTGCTGATCATAGCGTGAGTATAAGTAGGCAGCAGATGCAGCGCATATTCAGCTTTTCGCTTCGGAGCCGAGCGATCACATCGTTCTGCTCCTGACTACTCTACTGAGAGAAGAAGACTGAACGAGTTCAGCGCGCTCTTGGAGAGCCTTCGTGTTGGCGGACGGCGCTTCAGCAGTGGTGGTTTTCCGTGTCGAGTGGGTTGCACACATCAGGCTGCACTACCCCCTGTTTGTGTTGCAGATGATCATCTCCCCTGTGCGCCTCAGCACGCTAAAAGAGATTTTTCCCCTAAAAGAGCAATTTCGGGTGCGTCTTTTTAAAGACGACGTTGCTTGGCAAACTTGATGTTACGTCTTTATAAAGACGATGTGGGTCTTGTTATAGACAACGTATCACCCGGGCGTTCTGGATGCGGTCGTTACCTGGCGCTGGGTGATGGTCACGATCACTGCCTCTCGTGCCTGGGCATGAAGCACGCTGAGGTGGCTTTCGTGGATGGTTCATGTTCCCATTACGGGGGTAGGACCATCTCGGAGTTGCGGACTGGACTCTGTTACCTGCAAGGGGGCGGAGGCTCCTTCGAACCGTCAGGCTCAGCTATGCGATTCAGTCGCCCGGCTCCCCCCCCCCAAGTTCAGTGGCATCCGCTTCACAACATATAAATTTAATTTTCATAAGGGCTGACAGCTCATATTGTTTGTGAACACAAACAATACTTCTTAGCCATCTCTAACACTAGCTTGCACTATTCTTTTTCTATTCTATCTGTTTTCTTTTTATTTATTATTTAATAAAAAAAAAACCTTGCTACGTGTATTGTGTTAAGCTAACTGAGACTTGTCATAGCACTTGCATATCACTGCTGTTTTGTTGATTTTGATTGCTTCTATTTTCCTCATTTGTAATTCGCATTGGATAAAAGTGTCTGCTAAATTAATAAATGTAATGTAAATGAATACGATGAGGATTGACTTTACCAGTTTTTCTGCTTTCCTCACGGCAGCATCACTGCCCTGGCTGTCGGACAATGGCGGTGATCCGGGCGGCTCGGAGGCGGAGCTCGTGGTTTGCGAGGGCTGGTACTCTTGGTACAAAAGGTTTCTCAGTTTCTCATCCAGAGTCTTTATCGTTCTGTCTGCGAACTCCAGCCTGGGCGGCCCTTCCCCGTCTGATTCGCCCGGCTGCAGGGGCGGGACATTCTGGGGCTGGTGGGTGGGACTCTGGGGCTGATGGGTGGGGCTCTGGAGCTGATGGGTGGGGCTCTGAGGCTGATGGGTGGGGCTCTGAAGCTGTGATTGGCCGCTGCTGACCAAAGCCTGTGGAGTGGGCGTGGAAAAGGGCTGAAGCAGCACAACGGGCGGGGTCTGGGTCTGGCTGACGAGCGGCTCCACGCCGGGGCTGCTGCTGTAAGCGACCAGATGCTGAGGGACCTCCGTCGCTTTCTGAGCAGAGACGTCCAGTGAAACGGGAGGCACAATGGGGCAGCATGGGATGTCAGGAACCACAGCTGCGCAGGCAGCCTGAGGGCACTCGGCTGACGGAGCAACCTCAGAGAGGGACGCCTGTGGCACCGATGGCCGTTTCTGCAGAGGTTTGGCTCTGGCTGTGCTCACATCCTGCGTTTGAGATGTAGAGGAGCTCTCTGGGTCTGGAGAGACACAGGTAATAGTGTGAGATGATCATTTGTAAGCATGTTTAGTAGGTATGTAATGATATTATCAACATTGTGGTATCGCGATAGCAAAACTGTCTCAATATTATTGTGGTCACATGACAATATGAAAAGATAGGTTTTCCAGGCAAAAAGTATAATTTTTCAAATATATTTAAACTTCTTATTCTAACATAAAAGGTCTTTAAAGTTGTGTTTTGGACCATTATGCTTTGGCACAGTATCTGTCAAGTGAACTCAAACGGAAAGCACAATATGCTTAATCCCTTCATCAAGTCTGTTTTTGCTGTTTCAAAGCAAAGCACACACATTGTTCAGGTGATCAGCTTGTGATCCGGTGTTTTCTGCACCTCAGAACGGCTCTGTTCACACTGAATGAATGCAGTGAACTCGTTTATTGCACGTGCTGTGAGTTTAGCATTCTTTTGGGAACGCAACAGCCACCAATTTTACAATTTTTACATTCGTATAATTCCCAACATTTTAATGGGCAGACAATTACAGCATTTCATTATTTGTAGTGAGACGCATTTTTGTAAGCCTGTTTTTACTGAAGCTGGCGTTTTCCACCAAAATAAAAGCTCTACTGCCGTTTCCATCAAACTAAAAGCTGTCTAAAATAAAAGTGCAGTATGAATTAATGACAGCTAGCGGTTTAAATGGGTAACATTACTCCAGTCCAAATTCAAAATATCTCTTTTCAAGTGTAGAAATTAGGAAAGAAGTATTGCAATTTCTCTACTGTAGTGTAAAGCAAAAATAACATGCCTATGAAATATTCATTTGAAATTTAATTTTTACAGTGCAATTGTTTTACAATATATAAGTCTTCTTAGGAACATGGGTTGGAGCTCTTAATTTTGAACTTTCACAGTGCATTAAATAGAAGAATTTAACTAAAATGTACAAAATGTTAATTTTTTCCCCAAGTTTTCAATTGTCTGTTATTTAAAAAATATTGCAATAAATATAATATTGTGAACTTCATATCGAGATATTATCATATCATGAGATTTTGATAACGTTAAAAGTCTAATGTTTAGCATTTGTTAATGTGTGCTGAATTACTCGCGGCGGCCTCTTCTCCATTAGGCGCGGCCCTCTCCGCCACAGGACAGATGATGAACCAGCGCTTTCCAGTGTGAAGCACTGCAAATCAAGGCAAACTGTGAGTTAATACTCATTCTATAGCAGTTACAGTGAGATCTGTTGGACATGACGTGTCGGAGTCTTACCGTTCTGTTTATAGACGAGCTGGTCAGACTGCGTGCGCTCAGGTTTTGACCCCTGAGTAGAGAAGACAACAAATTCAGTTTGTCTGGTGATGCTAGAGGCACAGAAATGACACCCTTCACATTTACATTTACACAGTAGGGTACAACAGAGCTAAAGATACAGCAGGGTTTGATTTCATTTTCCTCTTAACCACTAGATGGCACAAAACTCACCGCAGCCCTTTCCTATACATTCATGTTTCAATATATGCAAGGAAATGTGGCTCCTTCGTGACACAACACAAAGCAACATAAAGTTGATTCTGCATTTATTTGATCTAATATTTCATGTGTTTTAAAGGGGACATCAGATGCCCATTTTCCACAAGTTGGTATGATTCTTTTGGGTCTTAATGAAAAGTCTAATTTGGTAATTTGGAAACATAATTTGGTTAAAATTTTTAATGGTAGTGTAAAACAACACCCTTTTTACCCTGTCAAAAACAGCTCTGTTCACAGTGACCCATTTTGTTACATGTTGCTTTAAATGCTAATGAGCTCTGCTTGCCCAGCCCCTCTCTTTCAAGCCACTCTCTGAGAGACTGTATACTTTAGCCGCATTCATCGTGAAACTTGCTAACTAGCACGTTATTAGGAAAGGCGATTTGCAAATACTTACACTCGCTCCTTCTGGAGGTGAGGCTGGATCATGAATGATTCGCGCAAACATAGACGCATTTAGGTAGATCATAGGCACATTCCCTTCAAAAACAAATGTAATCCACTGCGTCTTCAGCGGCTTAGATGTCGGGAGTAAACTATGACTGCTATGTTCATTATTACATCCAACAACAGAACACTTCAATCGCTTAGGAGCCATTCTTGTCTACATCTGCTCCAGCAGTGAAACAATGGAGGACTGTTTACAGCTCACTCAGGACGAGTCTAAGGTAAAACCTCACTCTCCCGGTTATCTGCTATGGTTCATCTTTGCTTCCTCCCCCTAAACAGTTATCATCTCTTGATGCTAACAGTAATACTGATACTTACTGCTCCACTCTTACATCTTGTTTAGACACTGTCTGCCCCTTGTCTTCCAGGCCAGGCCGTACCACCCCTTCTGCCCCTTGGCTGTCTGATGTTCTCAGAGAACATCGTTGTAAGCTCAGGTTGCTGAAAGGGTGTGGCGCAAATCAAAAAATACTACTGAATATTAAAATAAATACTTAATTTATATCAGTCACTCCTCTCTTCCTTCTCTGCTAATGTCTCCACTGCTAAAAGGACATACTATCATAACAAAATTAACAATTCGTCTAACTCTCGCATGCTCTTTAAAACATTTTCCAAGTCTCTGCCTTTCTCACACAGAACAACCTCTTGGACAGCAACCAGTCTGGCTTCAGAAGTGGACAATCGACCAAGACTGCCTTGCTCTCAGTTGTTGATGCCCTAAGACTGGCAAGAGCGGATTCCAAATCTTCAATACTTATCTTGCTGGATCTGTCCACTGCTTTTGACAAGGTTAACCACCAGATCCTCCTGTCAACCCTATTGGCAAAGGGCATCTCAGGAACCACACTCCAGTGGTTTGAGTCTTATCTCTCAGATAGGTCTTTCAAGGTATCCTGGAGAGGTGAGGTGTCCAAGTCACAACATATAACTACTGGGGTGCCTCAGGACTCAGTTCTTGGACCACTTCTCTTTTCTGTCTACATGGCATCACTAGGTTCTGCCATTCAGAAACATGGCTTTTCATATCACTGCTATGCTGATGACACTCAACTCTACCTCTCATTCCATCCTGATGATCCAACGATAGCTGCTCGCATCTCAGCTTGAATGAAGGACCTTGAATGAAGGACCATCACCTTCAACTCAACCTGGCCAAGACAGAACTGCTTGTGGTTCCATCAAACCCATCGTTTCATCACAATTTCACCGTCCAGTCAGGCTGGTCTATTGCAATGCTCTCTTGGTAGGTCTTCCAGCCACTTCTATCAAACCTTTACAATTAATCCAGAACCCGGCACCAAGATTAATTATTAACGAGCCGAAAAGAATGCACGTCACACCTCTGTTTATCAATTTGCACTGGCTTACCAGTAGCTGCTCGCATACAATTCAAGGCATTTATGTTTGCCTACAAAACCACCACTGGCTCTGCACCCCTTTACCTAAATTCATTACTTCAGACTTATGGACCCAAGATGGCGGCGCGTTCACACGCTGCGGCTTCTCTCTCTCCCGACAGAAAGGTGTTTTCGTGTTTTTTGTCTTGTGAATCGCAGTGTTTTTGTACGCATTCGTCGCGTCTTATTTGTTTCTAAGCGTGCATATAGTCGTGAGTTTCTGCTTGATGTCGGCAGAACCACATTTTTAGAGTTAAACTCTGCACACGCCGAAGAGCTGCGGGATCTCAGTCTGCTCCGGAGGCCCACACCATCACCGAGCGCGGAGGTATCCGGACTAGGCTAGTGGCTAACCCCCACAAGCCGGCTATCCCCACCATCGTACTGGCTAACGTACGCTCTTTGGACAATAAACTGGACTACATCCGAGAGCAGCTGAGTCCTTAGCCATCTTCAAGAATTGGCTAAAAACACATCTCTTTCATCTTTATTTGACCTTCTAACTCTAGCACTCTCTATTCTAATTTTATTCTTTATAAAAAAATTAATAAATACAACTTGCCCCTTTTAGACTTGCACTCTATTTATTTACTAACTGCTTGTTTTTCTTAAAAAAAAACTAGCACCTGCTTCTCTAATCTTTTTGTATTCTATCTTAGTTTGTTTTTTATTTATTATACAATTAACAAAAGCAAAAAAGGCCTCTAACACTTGCTTTTTCAATTCTATCTGTTTTTGTTTTTATTTATTATATGATTAAAAAAAACCTTGCTACATGTACTGCGTTAAGCTAACTGAGACTTGTTATAGTACTTGCATATCATTGCTCTTTTGTTGATTTTGATTGCTTCTATTGTCCTCATTTGTAAGTCACTTTGGATAAAATCATCTGTTAAATGTCTTAATGTAAAACACCAGTGTCAATCAACAATTAAGGGAAGGGGCCTGGGTCTATGTGACATCACTCAGCCAAGAATCTGTGAACCACTTGATCTGAGACCGTGCTAGGACTGTGCGATTAATCAAAATCATCATAAAATCGCGATTTGAGCATGCGCGATTTCTAAATCGCTTTAGCACGATTTTCAGTGCCCCCGACCTCCTGCAGTATGCTATCCGAACCAATCAGAATGCAGCGCGCCTAAATGGAGCATCAGAACCGACCGAGCAGGCATACAAACGTAACGCCAGGTTCACACACTCCGTCTGTGGTGTGTATTTTTTCCGCATCCATGTGAATGGATCAGAGCGTTCACACTGCACGCGATAGCTCTCCGGCAGTGTGCTCCAGGAGCGGTGGGTCTGCAGCAGTCACGGATTTTTGAAAATGACCTTTCATGCAGAGTTACACAGCTCTAAGTGAATGAAAACATTCTGCAAAGTTTTAAATCTGAAAGTGCACCATGTATAAAGTTATTGTCTCTCAAAAGAAAGAGTCGACTCAGAATCATTTAAACGAGTCGTTTTTAAGGCGAGACTGCAGGTGAATAGGGTAAAAAAACGAACTACTAATTATCACCTTAATTACCCAGTTGATTACATTGATAATTGCAAACATTTTTTGTATTACAAATTTTGTAAAATGTTATGTTTAAATATGCAAATGAGGCATTATTTAATTAAATATGCGCTAATTTGCATACATTTCTAGTACAAAAATCTGAACACTGGATGAAGTCAGTTTCCAAAAATCTTGTTTATTTTTTTTTACATATTAGAGGCAAATGTTTTTACAATCATATTTTACCTCTAATACACCACTATGTCCAACTGTCTTTGAGCGCGCGCAAGGCATCCGGTGTGTGAGATGTGTACGCGCTCTGGCGTAGTTTACGCAAGCGCCGGAAGTGATCTCTCGCTCTGTGATATGTCACTCATTGTTTACACAGTGCACAGTCATTGTAGGTACGACGGCTAATCAAAATGGTACTTGCTTGCGCTTATCCGGATTGTTCAAACCGACTTAAAACGAAAAGATTACGTTCTCTCGCGCGAACTCATTCGGGAGTTGTGACTTTCCACGTATTCCCAACTTCTGAGCCTGCTCTCCTGAAGTTATCGTTCATTGCTCTTTGGCTGGATATCAACACACCCATTAACGTAAACTACGCCAGAGCGCGTACACACCTCACGCACCGGATGCCTGCGCGCGCTCAAAGACAGTTGGACATAGTGGTGTATTAGAGGTAAAAAATGATATAAATACTGTTTGGTTTCTGGCACAAACCGATCGTTTCGTGTCTTAGGACATCAATGTGTCGTCACGAGCCGCAGGGTTTAATTTGGATTTGTCTGTGCATGTTTTTTTTACTCTCACAAAGTCAAAGAAAACAAAGAAACAAAGTCACCTACATCTTGGATGCCCTGGGGGTAAGCAGATAAACATCAAATTTTCTTTTTTGGGTGAACTATCCCTTTAAATGAATCCCAAGCCGTTTCATGTTGAAGTCAACATGAAACATTAGCATATTGCCCGCCCACATGTTGCGCGCACAGACCCAGTAAAACCGCTACAACACCAATGGATGCTCCCTCTAGCAGCTTAATTTAAATAAGGAGATCGAGATGTTTTGTAAATGATCGCAACTAGGAAATAATGCATTTACGCAACGAAGGTATAGCTAGCTAGCAAACTGTAGGTTGTAGTAACTAACGATAAAGTTAGTAGCTCGCTATTTAGCGGGTGAACCACTGATGCTAATGCACTAGTTATTAGGTGTGTTCGACTTGAAGCAGCGCTACACAGACCAATCATTGTATGACAAAGTACCGTGAGAATGATTCGAAAGCATAATGAGCCGTCTGCTCTCTACAGCTCTCACTGTACTTTGATGTCCTACAATGATCGGTCTGCACAGCGCTGCTTCAAGTCGAACACACCCCTTATAGACGTGGGGAGGGGCCATGCTCAGTGGCTCCATTGCATCGAGTCATGATTTTAGCCCCACCCAAAAAATCCTGTTTCAGCAATGCATTTCTAACATTTATAATGTGTTTAGAAACTATTTTCAGAATAGACTTTACATAGACTTTAATGGTTTGCAGTTTTGTTCAAGGTAATTAAATCAACAGTTTTTCAATAACTGAAGAATATGTAAAAGTATTATATTGGGGAAACTCCGCTCCTGCTGTTGGGGCTAAATGAAAGTATTATGTAGGTAAAATACCTTATGCATTTATATGATTTTTGTTTTTAAAAAACACCATTTATGATTTATTTTTTATTTATTTTCACACAAAATGTGTTGCTCCAATTATCAATAAAAACATATATTTCAGAGTTGCTAACGCTGACACACGCTTCCAGGCTCTTGATATCCCTGCTTGTGATATGAAAAAGTCTCAGCTTTCAAATTTTATACGTTTTAATACTAAATTCAAACAATATATACCATTTTGGTGCACTTAATGTGGCCAGTTTTTCAATAACTGAAGAATATGTAAAAGTATTATATTGGGGAAACTCCGCTCCTGCTGTTGGGGCTAAATGAAAGTATTATGTAGGTAAAATACCTTATGCATTTATATGATTTTTGTTTTTAAAAAACACCATTTATGATTTATTTTTTATTTATTTTCACACAAAATGTGTTGCTCCAATTATCAATAAAAACATATATTTCAGAGTTGCTAACGCTGACACACGCTTCCAGGCTCTTGATATCCCTGCTTGCGATATGAAAAAGTCTCAGCTTTCAAATTTTATACGTTTTAATACTAAATTCAAACAATATATACCATTTTGGTGCACTTAATGTGGCGTAAATCGTAAAATGTAGCGCTTCAGTTAAAGCCAGTGCCATTGAGTTGCGACAAGAGTTGCGACAAGCTTTGATCTCGCTGGCATCGCTGCAAGGTCACGTGGATCATGGAGCACTCCAAACAAACCAGGGTTGACAATAACTGGTCTATAATAGAGTCATTATATATAGATCAGTGGTGACAATACACTTGAATGGGTTTAAGTAGGATAGACGACAGTTTCATTATACAGGTATTTGCAGCAATTTTGGGTAAAAATTACAGCATATTATGCATGGATTATTACATCTGTCACGAATCCAGTCCGTGGCCGATGACATTTACAGTATTAATTTTATTCTGGAGAGTGATGGAGAGGCAACATTAGTATGGTTTTCTTAACCCTCAGGTATTGCTTACTTTTAATGTATGGCTTACCTGTATGGCTCTTTATTAAATATATCTAGAATATTGCAGGTCATACCTGCTTACTTATTTTTAAGTTCTTCATTTGAATAAATATTTAGACACTAGATTTTTAAATGAGAAATTTAAAAAGTTAATAACTTACATCTTTTTTTTTTAATGATACTCGCATAATTACACACAACGAATGCAAGCAAATACTGAATTTAAGCCAAGTTTAAAATGGTGCTAAAAAAGGGATTCAACAAAATATTTGTATCCCCTTATATTTACAGTATACAGTATATACACATGAATTGATATCGAATCGAGATGGAAAACCCTGATATTTTCTGCAATCATGCACTATGAGGAAAGCACATTTCCTTAAGGTGTGACTTCAGCTCCACTGTATCCTGCGTGTCCATACTCAAGAACACGATAGCTGGTGCATTTCCATCTAAAGCATGTCTGTATTAAGTAAGCACTGGGCCTGACCTGCGGGCCGAAGTCTGCTGTGACAGGCGTCTGACAGAGCGGTGAGGTCTGGACAGAGGCCTTCTCACCCTCAGCATCCTCATTCAGAATGTCCTCGGCTTTATCCATGATCTCCTTCAGCTGCTCGATGAAAATCTCCCTCTCCAGCAACAGAATAAACTCATTCTCAACCTGGAGGAACATCAACAAGAACCAGCACTTTGAGCCCACTCATCTATCCAGGACAAGCAGATACAGTACGCCATCTACCAATTAAGATTCAATGAGCTGTATATGAGGAACACTGTCTGAACATGACAATAAAGCATTAATGCAGTGGTTCTCCAAAAATGGTTGTGTTCTGACACACAGACTGCAGGACAAAAACAGATGTGTTATTTGCCACATACAAATAATGCAATGCTACCAACCACATAATTGTACATTTATGATTAAAAAAATAAATAAGAATTGTATATCTTGTGCTGTTGCTGAGTATTTTTTCCAGACACAAAGTGGAGTTAGTTCAGGTCTGCCAAGCAATGTTGCAATCTTACACATTAATAAAACATGTTCTGGATATAGCAGCTTAATAGCCACACAGAATTTAGAGTCTATTATTTGAGTTCATTTAAGTTTTTTTAATGAAATTTATTTATATGGTTATAATAATGAAATAATCAGATGTTACTGCATGTTTAGTTTTACAGATTAGAAAAATGTTTTTCCCATTCCTACTCCAAATCCTACCACACGTTTACATTAAGAAAAATAGCATCCATAAACTTTAGTACAGGAGCTTGAAACGCATCACCTCTGGGAGTTTGTCAGAAGAAGAGAAGGGCATATGGGGAGGGAGAGAGAAAGTAGAGGTGAAGATCTCACCATATATGTGGCAATCTCCTCTGGAGCATCTCCATCAAGGTCAAATTTAAACGTCACCATCTTATGGTTATGAGTCTCCAGCTGACACTCCACCATCTTGTCTCCTGTGTCACACACCTGTAACACAGTCACAGAGAATATAACAACAGGAACTTCAAAAAAATGCCTCTGAAAGAACTATGTCAACATTAACAGAAATTCCCCTTCAGGAACTCGAGCTGCGTCGAGTAGCTTTGGGAACGCCCTTGCGTGACCGCGTTCTGAAGCACGTGTCATATCCGAGCAGCGAGACGTCACGAGCAGGGTGACGTAAGCACCAGAAAGCATAAAAGCATATCCGGCCGGGCGCAAACCAGCTTCTGCTCTTCAGTAGCGCTCTGTGTATGTGTCTGTCTATTTACTGTTGTCTGTCCGCACAAGCACTCATATATATAAAACAATGAGAAAGTCTATGGTGAGTGGACGGCATTACAAACGCTGTGTTTCTCTCTGCCCAGGATATCTGGCGGCGGGGGATACACACGATTTGTGTGTTGTTTGTTTAGGAGCGAAGCATGCACGGTCAGCTTTCGAGCAGCTGATTGTCATCACTGCGAGCTCTCGCTGCGCACGCTCCGCTCTCGCCTGGCTGCGTTTGATGACGGCGGCCAGGCTCGCGATCCCGCTGGCAGCGGTCCCGCTGTTGCCGAGGCACAGCGCAGACTGTTGTCGTGGGGATCGCGGGTGGATTTAGCGGAGGGATCCGAGACGGGCTCGTCCTTTTCTCGGTCCTCACCCGCTAGATCCGCGGCTCTCTCTCTCGC